AACTTTCCTTAAAGGCCTAACACTAATCAAATAATTTTAGACATAATGTAAAGGTTATAAGGAATAATTAAGGTATGAAATATAAACACAGGCATTTCATTTTTTATTTTTTACATTTTTTTCAAAATTCTCCACATTATCATACCAAATAATTAATCAACCAATTGCTATTTTCTATGTCCCTATTATGTACAAAGTGCAATTGTGAACCTAGAAGAACACAAATGCCTATCAGTAAGTGAGTAACATGTCCGCTTTATTTCGGTTCACTTTTAAAGCCAAACATCACAAATGAAAAGTACAGCAGGCATCATGAATAAGAGGAAGGCCAAGTAAGAGTTACTGAGAAAAATGGCAAATATTTACAAAGGAGTAGAGTGCAGTAATGAAAGGAGGTGATACAAACCACAAGGAAAGGAAATGTAATAGGAAAATGGCTAAACAAGTTCAATAAACAAATCTAAAAAGAAATATAACAAGTACATATATTATGACTGCCTCAATCTCATCAATAACTGAGAAATACAAAGTCAAAAAAGAAGATAATATTAAGTATTGGAGATGGTGTAAGGAAAGTTTGCTCACTTATATAATTAATAGTTAATTCCTTATGGAAGAGCAATTCGGCAATAACTATCAGGATTTAAAATGCCAGAAAGGTGTGGAGGTACATTCCTGTAATCCTAGCGCTTGGGAGGCTGAAGCAGGAGGATGGTGAATTGGGCTATGTTTAAGACCCTGTTTCACAAAGGGAAAATAAACAAAAAAAACTTATAATGCCCTTTGACCTAACATTTCAAATTCTGGGACTATTTTCTGAAGAAATCAGATAATTAATAACGAAAGTTAAACTTTAGAATTTATGGTTGCATGATGTTTTATACATATTTATAATATTAATTTATTTAATACAGTGAACAATGCAATATAGCTAGGCCTTTCTTGCCTCTATGGTAGGCAGAATAATGGTCCTCCAAAGATGTCCACATCCTAATCCCCAAAACGTTTTAATATTCTGCCTAATACGGGAAAAAGTAGAAGAATTTAGAGATATCCTAAAAGACCCTGCAAATGGGAAGGTTATCTTCGATTATCTGCAAAGTCTAACTTAATCGCAAAATTATTTTTAGAGGGAAGTAGTAGAGTCAGAGAAGAAGCTGTAAGGAAAAAAGCTGTAAAAGTGATGCAGGACAATGGGCCAAGGAATGTGGACAGCCTCTAGACACTTGGAAAGGTCTGAGGAAAAAAATTCTAAAATTACAGTCCTCAACAGAGGTAGCTTAGCTAACCCACTCTGGACTTTGGATTTCCTTCCAGACAGAATAGGCTTGTGTTGTTGGGAGCGCTATGTTTGCAGAAACTTGTTATAGGAGAAAAAGGACACAGAATCCTATTTCATGAATAAAGAAACTGAGGCATGGTAAAGTGAATATCCAAATTCATGCAGCTCATGAGATGGACAGCTAGGACTCAAAGCTGCACCACACTGAGAAACTGTACTATGTATATACACACAAAGATACAGTCAGGATTTTTTTCTTCCAATAGAACCCTGGTTGGGGGCAAGTAACCACCCTTCATTAAGAGAACGATTAAAGGAAAAGTCATAATATGGGATATGAAACACACAACAACTTAAAAAGAGTATAACATGAAAAAAGTATGGCAAAAATGTTTCAAAAAATGTCCTTTTAAAAATGTTTACATGAACATGGATACATTGGTAAATACAGAGAAAAAGAACTAGAAGTCCTATTGATAGGAATGACAATTTGTTTGAAGTGAACTTGGACAGTAGGAAGAGGGACATTCACAATATATTCATTATTTTTATGTTATTTGGATATTTTTCAATAAGAATATTACAGTATATTTTTAAAGAGGGCATTCTTAATGCAGAATGGTATGAAAGAATTTCCTACACCATTTTCATTTTAAAAAAATCATAAAAAGATGCCTCTAGTGCACAAAGTTTAAAAGCCCTGCCCTACAGTGACACCAAATGGTAGCAGGTCAAAATACAGTACACGAATAGGATATTTGCTCCCTTCAATCTTCCTACAAACATTTGATTCCTTTGAAGAACAGGCAGATTAGCAGCATTAAATAATATGGAGACAAATACTCAAAAACCTAGAATTTTTAATCAAAGAAAGCCTAGTACACCAAGCTTCAGATGCAAATTTTTAGGCCTCTTTCCAAACTTCAGCTAATCTTCTGATTCCGTGGAATATTTACATAAATCACTTCTCACACAGCTAAAACCATGCCACTATGAACACAGTGATTTTACCTAATGGCTTATTGATCAAAGAAATTCTGCAGTCATACGACTAAACTCAGGTTCTGCTCCATGAAACCAATCTTTGGAAAGTAGGTGATACTTTACCAGGGATGGGTGAGGGTTGGTAGGATTAATGTGGAAAAGAAGAAATCTTCTGATCCCATTAGTGATAGTTTCTAGGTAGTATGTTTTCACTTCTTAATCTATAGATAAAAAATTAAATGAACAAAATGGGAGGCTACTGCATTCCAATGTAAACCAATTTTGTAATGAGAAATCTTTTTAGGCGATTGTCCAGGGAAAAGAATATTTCAATGAAGTACATCAGTGTTCTCTACAAGTAACTAAACCAAAAAAACCAGCATGTAAATTAGTCTTATTCATTACAAGCCAATACAAAAAGACTTAAGTATCAATCACCTCCCAGGATATTCTTCTCAAATATACCATTTGGCCAGAACTCTAATCTCTTAGGTATTAAATGACAGCTTGTTCAGATTTTTCAATGTGTTTTTTTTTTCATATACCAAAATGTCTAAAAAAACATACAAAATGAAATATTTGATCAACCACCCAAAAAGTATAAAAAAAAAAAATCAATAAACTCTAAAGCCCTGAATTCATCCCACTGGATTTTAGTTTTGTATTTTAAAAATAGTATATTTCTAATATTGAGTCCACATACAAATGATGTAGGTGACAGATATGCTCATTGCCCTGATTTTACCAATATATAATATATATGTACGAAAACATAACACTATAGCTCATAAATATGTCCAATTATTTATGTGTCAGTTAAAAATCAAATTTAAACAAAAGATATGAAAAAGATAAAAGTAAAGATAATCTTAAAACAATCGGAGCTGGGCGTGTAGCTCAGTGATACAGCCCATGTTAAGCATGTGTGGGGCACTGGTTTCAAGCCCAAGCAACACCAAAAAAAAACATTTTTTTTTCCCAAAAAAAAATACTGGATCAGCCACTATCACACCTTTACATCACACACACATGGATAGTCAGCTCTAGAACCGTTTAAAAATGCTCCTACACACAGGGGGCCCATGTCAAGTCATTAAAGCAAAGGGGAAAATTAGTTTCAGGAAGGTACTTACAATTTAGAAATACTAGAAATAACAGATGAACAACTAGACCCTTAGTTTTGTAAAAATACTCATGTTATCTATGCTACATTGACAACCATCAAAAACAGGTATGTCAGTTTTAAAGAATTTTGCTTCCAATTCCAAGGGAGAATTAAATGTGGATATGAAACTATTTTACATATAAGTTAAACACAAGATTCAAAGGATATGGGAAAAATATCAGCAGTCACTCTTTGTTTAAAAATTTAATGCAAATTCTCCCTTATTTACCTATTCTCATATAGAAGACATGGCAAGTTAAGTATCAAACAGGGATGAATGGTAGACAAGGTGGCCTGGTAATTTAGAATAAAGCAAACAAGGAATTATGGGGAGAAAAATTAAAAATGACAGGAAGAATAACCTGGAGAACTGGTATAAAAAAATGTTTGTTTTTAAGGAAATGAGTTTAAAAGTTTGATAACAAAAATAACAGGACTATGAGAATAAGGAAAAGCCCTGCTTCTTCACTTGTCTTTTGTTCTTTGACTGTCACTGGTAGGGAGCATAGTAGTGTTAGTTTAGAGATGCAGGAAGGAGTTTAAGAGCAAAGGACAACAACAGGCCCAATATGGAGTAGAGATGGACTGGGTAAATTAGCCAATTTGAGTTTTCAAAATTATATCAAATACAATTCCATCTGGCGCTGGGGGATAGGTAATACAATTAAAAATGAAAAGGGAAAAATAATCTTATTTTTAAATCAGTACTTTAATGTATTATGATGATTAGTGTAATCAACCTAAAAATGATCATTTAATGTAGAAGGAAAAGCAGAGGAGACAGAGCTTGATAAAAATCTTCATTTTAAGTTGCAATACAGCTAATATATACCACTGGCAAGTTTTTTCACCTCTTTAGACCCCAGCTTCTTGAAAATACGAGGGTAGAACAAGATGATTATCAAGCTACCTTGAAGATTTTGTTAAATGAATTCATTTTTCACCCTCATTGCCAAGAAAGAAACTATATTTTTAATTTCAGAGTCAAAACCATGAGGTGAACTCAAGTGAGTGATTAAAACAAGAAATTATAGCTACTCTTGCAATATGTTGGGATGCAAAGCTCTAGAATAAATCATAAATATATTCTATTCATAAGGAGTATAGTTTTCATTTTACATTTTAACCTGAAATACAGAACTTAAAAAATTATATATATACTTTTCAAAGTCTCTTGGGTTTCATTTAAGGAGAGAGTTTCAATATATTATTTTAAACCAAGCTAATTTCTGAAATATTCTTAGGTTTAAAAAAAGCAAAAGGAACATTAAATGTTCGTGTGAATAATAGTGATGTGGAAAAACTTCTCATTTTCTTTCTCTTGCTTTTCACAGTACAAAAATCCTCCTCAAACAAGAGCTAACAGGTGATAGTGTGTCTGTGTAGCACACACTGAGGTCCTGAGTTCAACCACCAGAACTGCAAAAGGTGGGGGGAGGGAGAGAGGAAGATGGAGAGAAGAGAGAGGAGGAGAAAAGGAGAAGACAGGGAAAGGGGAAGAGGAAGAAGAAGAGAGGGAGAGGGGAGGAAGAGACAGAGAGTTACTTAACCCTGACACACAGTACTTACCACAACAGCAAACTGCTCAGGTTCACATAAGTTGTTAAACTCACTCTTGAATTGAGACAATGAATTCAGTTGTTCTTGATCAGGAAGATGCTTTATTAAATTCTAAAAATTTAAAACCAAGAGAAAGTGTCTTCATTAAATATAGTTCTTAAATTCTAGGAATACTGATTAATAAACTAGGGAAAGGATATCAGTGAAGTTAACCTTCAGTTCTTTTTTGTTTTTATTTTTTTCCTAGAAAACCTCCCTTATACTAAGCTTTACAGAACATTCCACGCATCTTGAAAACAGTCAATTTTCCTTTCCAATATTCGAGTTACTACACATTCAAATCAAGCACTAGTGAATGTTTATTTGATTAGCTTATAATTGAGAAAGAAAAACTCAACCTATACCAACAGAACAGCTTTCTTACCTGGACCAATGTGATCCATTACATTTCAGCTTTAGGGAATTGAAATCAGAAATTTCAGGCAAAGCCAAATATATTTTAATACTTTATTCAGAGGAATAAAAGAAATCATCATATTGGTACCAAAAGGCAAGGGAAAGAACAGAAATCAAGGGAAGTTTTATGGCAATGCTTACAAGATTTAACTGTTATGATTATGTTTTATTAATAAAAGATGAAAATAACCCTAAAACAAGGACAAAGAAAACATTTGAAAGGCATTGAAAACACAAGATGACGTACATTGCAGATAAAAAGCACATAAAGAGATTCTTCATGAACATAAACTGCCCATGAGTTACAAGCACTTTACATGTATCATCTGCTGTCTAGAAACCATGGGTTCTTTTGGCTGCTCTGATTCCTTTGCCATGCACAGCCTTTCTAAGATACACACTTACACAACACAACCGCTTCAAAAAACATCAGGGGAATATATGTAATTATGTTCTCCCAATAGAACTCAAACGATGAAACAATCCCTGAAACAAAGTCTACGTGCATCCTCTATCTCAAAATATAACCAACCATAAGACTCTTATGAGTAGTTAGCATATTGATATTAAAATTAAGGGGCAAAAAAGTGGTTTGTACTCAGAATTCCAAATTACAATGTCAGTAAATTCTCCACAAACCTAAAGTCCAAATTATAATTAACCGTATAGCATGCTATACAAATTGGCAGAAAAAAACATCCCCAAGAAGTGTTATTAGTTTACAATAGTGTTAGACGGTGTTATATATCAAAAGTAGTTTAGTGAGTTACTGACTACTGTGTACCTTTGGATAAAAACTTGGTTTACTGGACAAAAACAAGTGGCAAATTAAGATCACCCCTAGAAAAAGTAGTCGCTATTAACACTAGCAAAGGGAATGAAAACAATAAAAGCATGTGATTTGTCACATAAATCAGAACATTCTCTTTGTCAAATCACCTAAGACCAAAAGACCTGGGTATTTAAGTTTTCTCTTAACTGTTCTAGTTGATAATTAGATCTTCCGAGCTATTTATTACAGTAGGCCTCTGAATTTCTTTAGCCTTCTTTTAGATGGCCATCAAATCTTTGTGGGTATTTTAGTTAACATATACATAGATTTTTGACCTTTCATCAGAAATTCATTCATTTTTCACTCATTTTTGCATTTCATGGTGAGAAGTTATCATGATTTGTTAGAGTACTGTCCAAAACTTCCTGTTTTCCCCTTACCAAATTTTCCATGCCTCCTACAAATCATAAGGTCCTATTAAAATAAATTCTACAAGTTGTCTAAATGCACCTCATTAGACTCCCAACTCACAGTGTTATTACTGCTAGAATAATTGCCTTACATTTTTTCATTCAATCACCCTGTTCTTTTCTACATCTGTGGCTTATTCAACCTTTAAGTACCCTGAGTCCCACATACACAACAGAGGGCATTCCTGCAACAGACTCTCCACTTCTAAACCAGTCTTGATAAAGCTATGCATATCTTATAATTAAATATGTTATGTCATCTTCCATGACAAAATATTAATTCCAAAACCATGAATTCTCCCTTTGATAGAGCCTAGTGTAATGCTCAGCACATGGCGTACACCATAAAATAATACCAAAAGAATTAATAAAAGTCTGATGGGACAGATGTATATGCATTTATTTAGTAATCATAGCCTTTTTTGAAGAGGGGTACTGTGATTTGAATTCAGGACCATGTGCTTACTAGGTAGGCACTCTACCACTTGAGCCATGCTCCTAGCCCTGTTTTTATCATAAATGGAAAAGAATGATTTGCAAAAATGGCATTAAAATGACATAGCACTGACCTATGAAAAAATAACTAAATATGCTTAAATTAAATCATGCCAGACAACACAGATAGGCAAATGGTGATTATTACAACGTAATTTTCTGTTTGTACACCCTGTTGAAGCTGAGCAGTACTTCATGTGAGAGTTAGGAATAAATTTTGGAATTAAAGTTCAAACAGCATAAGATTCTTATTTTAATGAATATTTGGAAGGTCTTCCATATGTCTGAAAGTCCTTCAGGTTTTAAACTCATGAAACCTCCTTTATATTTAAGGACGGAATGCAGAATAACAGTACCCACCCCAACCTCCAGTCCTCAGAATCTATGAAAATATCAGGTTACATAGCAAAGGGAGTTAAAGCTACAGATGGATCCAGATTGCTATAAGCTGATTATCCCAGGTGATTATCCTGGATTATCTCAGTGTCCAGTGTAATCACAAAAGTCCTTAACAGTAGAAGAGGGAGACAGAGTAAGAGAGTGAGAGGGAGAAGTGATTATGAAAGAAATGCAGAGGATGCAGTGCTGCTGCTTGGGAGATGAAGGAAGGAGTCCATGAGTTGAGGAAGGCAGAAAGCCAAGAGAAGTTGGAAAACACTCTTCCCTTCAGCCTACAGAAAGGAACACAGGCCTGCCAACAGCTTACTTGATCAGAGTGAGACCAATGCCAGCTTTATGTTCTAAAGCAATGTAAGATGATGAATTTGCATTATTTTAGCCTATTAAGTTTGTAGTGAATTGTCATAGTGGCAACAGAAAACTAATACATTGAGAAATTATACAAAGCTGAATCTACTTCGACATGGATTTAAAAATGAAAGTGACTATTTTTCTATGTCTAGATGACAAAACCACATGATTATCCATAACATTCATGCAATCAAGTTAAAAGCAACTTTGTAAATATTTAACAAATTCATTATAAGAAATACAAACATGTATTAAGCAGAAAAATTTTCTTGGAGGAACTTGGCATCTGCTCCCAGCAAGAAGCCACATACACAATCAACAACAATAAAGACAAAAATCCAATTAGGAAAAAAAAAAAGCTTCTAGAGAGAAAAGAATGCTTAAAGAAAGATGTAGAATTAGCAGTTTATGAATCTCAGAGATTCACAGCACAAATCAAAAATGAGAGCACACTTAGAAGATAAGGTAAGGGAGGCAAAACTTGGAACAACTTCTTTAGGTATCATTTATTGATGAGTTAAAACATTTAAAATAATTTTAATCACTAAAAATAACCTTTGATTTCTTCTTATTGCCAAAATAACATTTTGTTAGCACATTATCAGAAAAAGTGGCAAGTTAAATGTATTTTCTCAACAAAAAACTTGAGTTTTGATTGTCCAGTTTTAAATTCTATGAAGATATACATACTTAATATTTTATGTGGAATTTAGTAACTTTGGTATTATACTAGAGTCATTAAAAAATACTATAAGTAAAAAACTCTTAAAACATCTTCTAGCCTTCTGAATAAACTCAGAGTACTATGCAAACAGTCCCTACCACTCATAGCAGCACCAATGACCCAAGGAAGAGTTGTTTGTTAGAAAAAGTAACTAAATAAAAACTCTCTCCATTTTGTATATCAAATAATAATGCAACTCAATAATCCTAAGAGAAACATAATCTACAAAGGATATAAAACAAATTTAAACCTACATATCATCAGTCTTAACTGTAACAAAACCAAAAACATGTATGAAAAATGAAACAAGTTGCCTTTCTGAAAGTCATTTAAAATAATTGAAATGTAATCATTTTGATAGCATTATATTTAGTTTGCAGTAAAAAGAAGATGCAGAGTTTATCTCCTGGCAATGCACAAGTAAGGCTAAAACTAATTATGCTGCAATGATTTTCCAGTTGAATGATTTGGGTTAAGAATTTTGCTTCACTTACAGATTTCTATTTAAAGAGAAGTTTGCAATAAAATATTGGAACTTAAGCTTTGCCTGTTTGTTTACCTGAATCATAGACTCTGCCAAGTGTGTTTCATCTACTTCCAGTATCATCATTTTAATTTCTTCATATGGCACCCGAAAAGAACTCAGGAAGATTGCTAAGAGAGAGAGGGTGAGATAAAAGTTCATAATGAATAATGAAAGGAATCTGAGAAGTAGTTTTACTTATAAAATCAAAAGTAAATTAGCAAAATGAACAAATGCATACATGTAAGACAGCTGTGGAGAAAACTTCCATTCGTACATTTTCTGTTATTCTCCAGTTCTAGACTAGAGTTTAGATAACTATCCTTTACTGTTACATAGTTCACAAGGTTGATTTCAAAAGCTATTTGCCTAACATGGGAATGTTGCCAATTTTCATGTAATTTAAAACAACTAAAATATGTTCATTACACTATAAAACATCACATTGTAATGAAAAAAGATAATTGTATGTAAATGAAATATTTGTCAAAATATTGGTTTCTATAATAACTTCTAGGGGTACTAAACAGTTGGAAAATTTTTCCAACTGCTACATAGTATATTAATACTTCAACAAGCAATAACAGCACTTTACTGTTCAGAAACATTTTAGACAAGAGATATAGCTTTTGTAACTAAATCTTAAATGTAACTAAATCTTAAAATATTACATTTTAGAAAACAAACTGTCATGAGAATTTATCTAAATGGATTAGGTGGGATAAATCATTACTGAGAATTCCAACATTATTTACTTTTGTATTAATACATAGATAACCAGTTGTTTAATGGTCTTCTCAAGAGCTTTTGAGGTATATTATGATGTTTTCACAACATTAGATATAATGCTTTGCTAGTTCCCTTATATTACTATTCTTTCCATGTTCAAGTAAGGTCATTTCTTGACCATCAAGACCAGTAACCCATTGTTTTGTTTTGTTTTATTCACTGAACTTTTATGTCATTTGGTTTATAGGCAACTGTATATAAGACATTATCTTTCCTAAAATTCAGAAGACATGAACTGCTCCTTTTATGAACCAGGCTTCTCATGCTTGAGAATGGTAGTTATTGCTTACTGATCAACAAGGGCAACTGTGTTCTCACCACTAGGTTTAGTCACATGTTTTTGAGCAGGAAAAGTCACAAACCTGGGGAGACTATGCAAGAAAAATATAGATGTCTATGCTCCTTAATATTACAAGAGTAAGATGGAATAAAGGATCTAAAAGATCTAGATATTTATGGAATTAAACAGGATAAATATAAACAAAGGTAAAGTCTTCCAAAATGTGTCACAAGTAGACAAAGAGATGGAAAAATACTAGGCCAAGAGACATAGAAAATGAGTAAGGCTATCTAAAAAAAAATCCAAGAGGGGATACAAACATAACCCACAAAGAAAAGACAAAAAGTGTATTTGAAAAGTAAACTCTCAGAATTTTTCCTAATTATAGAAAGACACAAAACATCAGATGAAGAAAGTCAACAAATCCCAAACATGATCAATGAAAACAGCAAGGTGAAACCTTGTAAAATTTTAAGCATTGGTGAGACTGTCAAACAGGGACACACAAGTATTGTTGGAGGAAGAATAAATTGGTACAAATACATAACAGTAAACACTTAAAGTTGGGTTTAAGCAACACAGACACACAGCTATACAACCACTAAGCTATTATAGTAGAAAAGCACCCACACAGACAATACATAAGCAAAATACTTTGTTTATAAAACAGGCAGTAAATCAAATTTATCATGAAGGTCATCCAAATGTCAAACAAACATTGAATGAAAAAAACGTGGCATTCAAAGAATGTAATCTTAGGTGGGAGTGAAAGAAAAATGTTAGAGAATGAAAAATATTGAAACAACTCATCTATAAATGAATATAATATAATGCACTGAACAGTAAGCTGTTGAATATTAGGGAAGCATGGTGACAGAGAATGAGTAAATAACAGAGGGAAAAGGGTTAATCTGATAAAAGCACGATATATACAGGTACCACGGCAACACCCCCTTGGACTATCAATATATACGTAATTTTTAAAAATGAAGGTCACAAGTGAAAACTAAATCTTTTCTGGGGGTAGGTACCAGTGGGAGGGGAATGGGAACAAGGAAATGGGGAATGAGGTGGATGTGTTTTGTAGCCATATATGAACACAGAAGAATGAAACCTGTTGAAATTGTTCTAAGAAGAGGGGGAGGAGGTGCAAAGAGAGAGAATGACAGAGGGGTAAAACTAACTAAAATATATTTTAAACACATATGTAAATATCACAATGTATCTCCCATACAACTATTATATGCTAATAAAATAATAAGTAAAAAAAAGAATCTAATCCTACACTGAAATGAAAATGAGTATCTTATAGCTTAATGCATTGTTTTATTTACGTAAAATTCAAAACCAGTCAATAATGAACTCATTGTTTATGAACATATACATGTTTGGTAAAATTGCAAACGAAAAAGAGAGAGAGAGAGAGAGAGAGAGAAAATTAATGCTTAATTGAAGATTCAGAATAAAGTTACTTCTCACGGTGAGAGTGATAAAATTGGACAGGTTCATAAATAAGCCTCTAAAATAGAGCAATGTTTTCTTTAGCTATGGCTGTTTACTAATATATTGTATGATTCATTTGATAAATCACACATATGTGTAATATAGATCATAACAATATAACTAAAATACATTTAAATGAAAAATATGAAAGGAAAATGAATAAAAGCATAATATTGTGAAGTCTGACCTTTGCCCTCTGTGCCTGTGAGCTACACTATACCCATGGAACATCCTGCCAGACAAAATCATCTCTGTTACCCAAAGATATTTAGTCACATTAGATAGTCCCATACTAACTATAAGATTTATGATGTGGGCTTTGAATCATCCAGTGTCAACTCTCCCTGGGAGAGCTAGAAACTAAGGTCAGTCATATGGGGGCTCAACAATGATCAAGTCCCAGGAAAAACTCTGAAAACCAAGGGAGCATCCCTGGTTGGCAACACTGAGTATTGTTTTATATCACTGCATGGAGAAGTCAGAGCCATCCACAACTCCAGTGGGGGAGGGGAATGTAAACTTCACCTTGGACCTCTTGTGGACTCAACTCAAGCACCTTCTCCTCAATAGATTTTAATTAGACAGTTACTGAAATAAAGCTTACCAAAAAAATGAAATTACTTGAGTGAGCTTTGTAAGTCCTTTCGTAATTATCAAGCCTGGGAATGGTCTTGGAATCTCTGAACTCATAACTGGTATGAGAAGTGAGGGTGGTATTTGGGGAACAATTAATATTGTGGATTTTAAAACTACATGATCTCATTTATGCAATCATGTAAATATATAATAAATAACAAACATATAAATAACACAACATTCATAAGTAATACATAAAAACCAGAAAAGAAAATGTTAACAGTTTTTACTCAGCAGAAATATCTTAATCTCTTTTACTTTCTCCCAGTTTGTCACTTCTCTACTTTCAAGCATTTTTCTATATTTAAAATACCATATGCTATTAAGCACACATATTTCTGAAGATCATATTAAGATTTTAATTGCTTTGAATAAATTGATGTTTGTAAAGACAATTTCCAAAACTGTAACAACTATGAAGAAAAAATACCCAGGAGTTGAAAATAACCTAATGCCTAACAAATAATTAAGTAGACAAGTACAGACCATTTTGAAAATATTTAAAAGTTACTGAGAATCACATAAGAGATAATCAGTTAAAAGCATTCAAAAAGCCCATTGAAAATGAATCATTTCGCTAATATACATCTTATCCTTCAGTGTGTGATTATGTGGATCCCAGTAGAAAGCTTTGGTTCAGTTAAAGAGTGTCAAGTATGCAGATTTTGGAACCACTGGTGCTTGTTTTCTGTGAGGGAATTTATAAATATTTAAACCTTTACACTAATTTGTAGATTCCTGGGATTCTCCCATTATAGGTCTAATGCTCACTTTACAAGAATCTACTAAAATACATGAATTTTGTGAAACTCCTGAGACTTCTCTTGATTTTGGAGTTGTCTCATTAAAGATGAACCCAGAGTCTTACTCAAAACTTTTATTACTCAAAAAATGGGAAACCTAAGCTACCTTTACTTAAACAAGCTAAATAAATGAGTGATTTTTCAAAGCTTTTCTCAAAATTCTATAGAATATTTTAGTGCTGAATAAAAATTTGGTGCAGACACGCCATTTTCACTTCATTAAAATTTGGAAGTGAGTCTCTATTTTAGTGTTAGTATTTTAGTATTAACCACAGATTTTCTCAAAGTTGTCTCCTTCAGAAACAGTTGTTACTCTCTAAACAAGGGTCTCCTCAGAATTCAGTGTATCAACACATGAATTTTATTTATAAAACCCAGCTGTGAATCCAACTATGATTACAGTAAACTTTATAGGCTGATAAAGCCTATAAGTCATAACAATTTCAAAATATATAATCCAAACGGGCAAAAATAATCTTAAAATAGATTACATAATATGACGTTATAAATCCCTGATCTATTGATCTAGTACTATAAAACCTACTTCTCAACTAAATGAATCGAAGATATATTTATGCACACATACAAACATATATATATGTTTGTATATATATAGATATCTATCTATCCAAATCTATATCTATATATCCTGTAGATGAAGCAAACAATACAAACAGGATCCTTGTATTCTGTAAAACAGTAGATATACCCTATATCTATTGGCTGTTTTCAAAATGAGTAACTAAATCTTGAAATCAACCAGATTCTCTATCCATAATATCAATGCTAATACACACATGGAAGAGTGTGTTAGTAAAAAGGAAGGGGAAAAATACAGAACTAGAACGCAAAGGTAGTCAGTAATTCTTTGTACATGCTATTAACTATTTAGCACATGCTCTGTAATTTATAATAGATAACTCTGTCCAAAAAGCTAATTATTCAACTTCGAAACGGATATTTAAATAAAATTATCATAGGTGATCCATTCGAAAGTACTATTATTCAAAATAATTTTTCAAGAATCAACAAAGTTGGTAATCATGAAGACAAGAAGTTTGTAATGTAGGCCATAAATAATTTTCAAAACAAAAATCACCTTTGAGTTCACAGAGTACAGAACTTTTTTACATTATCTAAGTTAATAGTGCAGTGCTTTGAGCTGAAACAACGCCTTTGCAGGGAGGAAATTTCCTGATGTACATGCATCATGTAATAAGCCCCAAATTTTCAGTAGTGTAACAAGCATGCACAAAAGAAAAAAACCAATTATTTACAATTGAGAAAATCAGTCCATCCCACATCAGAGAGCTATATCAGAGCTATATTAATTACGATCCTCTTATCACAATGATGGACACTATACTGACTGCCATACTAGGTCCCAATGGAAAGAGACCAGAGGACTTTCTCACACTATCAGTTAATAGCTTCCATCCCAAAGTGATGTCACCTCCATTTACATTGTCATTGGCCCAAGCATGTGACATGGTGATACCTAACTTGAAAGAGGTAAGGCTGTCCTATCAATTTGCACCTAGAAAAAGAGGACTGAAAATTGAGTAGTATTAAAGCCTCTATAAAATCACATGTGGATCTTACCTTAGCCTACATGGTAAGAAAAAGATTGGCCTCTCTCATATTGAGAATAAAGGAGAGTAACTTCAAAAACTTAAAAGGAAGATCAACTCTACTTTCTGCACCTACTGCTCTAATCAATACCATAGATCATTATCCCTTCTGTTTTTTTTTCTAATACTGCTAAAAGCTCAACTGATGCATGTAATAATGAAGGGTCACACAAAAAGTCATGTTAACTCTCTTCATTCTTCTTCGCTCCAGATTTTCCATATTATACCCTTGTTGCACCATTAGAAAAAAATATAATGTTATATTGTATCAGCTCCAAAGAGTAGCTTCCATGCAATTAAGAAGACCTTAGAAATGAGTTAGAAGCAAAATCATTTGCTTCCTTCTCTCAAAATAATTCAGGCAGGAAGACAATTCAACAGCAAGTATTTAGCTCCTATAACAGTAATTAAATCTAAAGTAGTCAGTACTTCTGAGGAAAGGCTTTGAACTGCTCAGATGGATTAATGGAATTCATTTGTCTCATCATCCTAATTTCCATTAATATTCTAACAACCTTCATGTGTGATCAACTATCACAAATAATAGAGATTTACAGATATAAAAGAAGTAATACATTATCATTTTTTCAAAACATGATGTCATCTGAATTCCATGTCTTTATTTTCACACTTAAAAGATGAACTTTAAAAGGTAGTTTCAGTTATAGGAGATGGAATTTCAACCTAAATCCTTTTATTTTCTATTATGCAGTAATCTTTTAAAGAATTTAATCTCATAATATGCATAAAGGAAGGTTATCTTTGAATTTATTATTCAAACAATGAAACTAAAATAACAAAATGAAAAACAAGTCATAAAATGAACTAATTTAAAGACACTAACAATATACGTTTTGATAACTTAATATCATTAAAAATATGATACTTACAAAGGTTCTGGGCAATTTTAGAATCTAGAAATTTAAGTTCTTTAATTCTTTTTTTAATAGCTTTCTTCTCTTCAAAATCTTCCTCATCTCTTTTCTCTGTAAAGTCAAGGATAGATCTATGTCAGAAACAGTAGGACATTCAAATGCAAAAGGGCAGAAAGTGAACTTTCTTTCACCAAAGAAGCTTAAGGAATATATGTCTTCCAAAAGACAGTAATAAAAATAATAAAATATATATCCTAAGACTCAAACTGTTTCAGATAAGTACTGGTTATAAGCTAGAAAAACTACTAAATATTTGAAGGGCTAACAGGAATATTAAGAATTTAGTCCTAAAAATATTAAAAGTTATATGGCTGGTTTTGTTTATGTGTGCTATACCATGTTTATTTAAAAATATAAATCCTACAAAAATCTTTGGAAAAGAGTCAAATTTTGATACTCATCTCATTTTACTTGATTGTTCTAAAAATTAATGAATTAATTTAGCTACTTTGATAGAAATATGTAACAATAAACATATTATGCTAACAATACATATGACTGGTGGTTATAGTGCAGTATCATTAACAGCTAAAACTAACACAGCATTCCTGTCATCCATCTCTAGTTTGTGTCTGTGGACAAAAGTTCTCAAGTTTATGGATCTTATAAAATTAGGATCTTCAAAACAAAGAATAGGGAACCAAAGTGTTTAGGTAGATATGCAGAGATAAATCAAAAACATGGGGAAAATAAATTTAAATTTACAACTAGTTGAAAGATCTTCATATGTACAATGTGGTTCATTATAATTCTATTATTTTATGTCAGAAAGAAGTACATTATAATTCTATGTCTTATTACATAGTAGGAGGTAAGAATCAAAACTACCACTTCTGAAAACATTTATTAACTAGTTTTATATCATTTATGAATCAACCATCTTTCTCAATTTATTTTAAATTACCCTTTTATACTTGTTATCTACATAATTAGTCCTGTTTTTTTCTGAGCTTCTAATTCTGTACCATTGTTCTATGTACCACCCTTACTATCATCACTTGGTATTAAGTATTAAGGAATTATATTTTATTAACTGGCTGTTCAAATTATTTCATCCTTTTCTAAATGTGTCACCTTTGTCACTTATTATTTTTATATCAACTATAGAGTAATTCAAAAGTTGTAAAAAGAAAATCCAGTTGAATATTATTTGAATTGTAAGGGATTCATAAATAGACTTAATGATAATTGACAACTTGACAATGAACTTAGCAATCATGATCATGGCCTGCGTTTTTCTATAATTATTAAATTAGCACAGTATTCCTCATAAATACCTTGTATATTTATTGTGCTAGATTTCCTAAAGACATCTAAACTATACTTAGATATTGCATAAACTTTATTGAATTTTCAATTTGTTATCAAATTAATCATTCTTTCATTTTAGTAAAGAATATTTCTTAAGCACCAACTAAAAGAGATTGCTAGGCAATTTAAATGTAATTATAGACTAAAAAGAATCACAGACTCCCAAAATTTAAGGACCAATAGAGATGTCTGTAAAATAAATAGCAATGAAAAGACATGGATAATTGGGTGATCTTTTGGGAAGAGCTACAAAAGAAGACCATCATAATTTATACTTGTCAAATTTAGTCTTTATAGGATTAAATAATACCTATGGGAAAGCTTGGAAGGAAAAAGAGGAAGGCCAGGTGAGACGTGGGGCAGGGTCTGGGGTGAGGGGGAAGACAGAGATAACAGAAGATTGAATTTGGAGGTACAAAAATTTGAAGAACTAAGAAATGCCTGAGAATGGTAAGAGTAGAGACTACTCAGTGGAAATAAAAAGATGCCAGAAATAAGTCAGAAACTTAATCATGCAAGACCTTTTACATCAGGTAAAGAAATCTGAATCTTATTCTGGTGGTACTAAGGAGCCACTGGAGATTTAAGCACCTTGTGAGAGACCATCAAGAGAACTACACTTTTGGAAAGACTCAGGCTGCTGAATGTGAATTGAAAGACAGGCAAAAGCAGTGTTTGAGAGGCAAGATGGAAAGTTACAGTAACCTGAGAGTAAGTGGTTCCCTTCTCAAGGGCAACAGCAACCGAAATGGACAGAATGGATGGATTCCCAAAGTAGCATCTGCAGTGGGAACTATACTAATTAGTGGTCCAAGTCATATCTGTCTTCTGGATTCTAGACCTGAATATCCAACTGCTTACTCTCAACATCTCTACTTGGAACTCTTAATGTAGTTGCTCAAGTCAAAAAGCTTGCATTATTATTCTCACAACCATCCAATCCATTAGTTACTCCAGTCAATTCTAAATCCAAAACATTAAGCAAAATGAACACTCTTCAACACCTTACTGGCTGCTGCTTTGATCTTCTGGGGGCTACCATCTTTTTTCACCTGAACCACTGCTTCCTAACTAGTCTCCCCACTTTCACTAACTGCAGTATCTTTATCAAAATACAGAAGAATCCTATTAAAGCTTACTGGCAATGTCTTCTCTTACTGCCTTATACAGAAAGAAGACATGGTATATGTGTACAATGAAGTATTAGTTGACCACAAAGAGGAACACAGTAATGACACTTACAAGAAAATAGACTGAACTGAACATCATGTTAAGCAAAACATGCCAGATTCAAAGACATACACACATATACAGATATATGTGTATATAATATATGCATACATTTTGGAAGAGGGGCAGTACTGCAATTTGAACTCAGGGCCTCCTGCTTCCTATATAGGTGCTTTACCATGCCCCCATATCAAAAG